CTCTTGTTTCTCACGTCCTACGATTGCTATACTACTCCTTGGTTTATTCTGGTCTTTTTTTCTTCTGTTCTTCCTTAGACTCTTCTTTCAAACTCCTTGGAGCTGGTTGGATACTTTAAGGAAGACTTGCTCCCTGATGGCTAAGTTTTCTCAAAATGATTTTCAACTCTAAGGAAGACCCCCATTTATCTGCTGTGATCAGCTTTCTTGTGAAGACTGTGTCCAGGCTATATTGTTTAATAGATCTGTAGCCCTTATGGGCAAAAAAAGACCATTATGACCTCTTGAAAAACACAGACCATAGAAACTCTCAATTACTGCATCAAGATGTTTACTTCTCTTTGAGCTAAAGCATACCTTTTAGAAACATATCCCATTTTGATTAAGAGACTTCAAGTGATGGAGAATTTGCCACATCTCCACATAAGTGATTTCAAAGGTCAGTTATCTCTCTGTTAAAATGTATTGCCTTATTTCTAAGCTGAATTTGCCCACCTTCTGCTTTCAACCACTGAATCTTGTTATGCCATTTTCTGCTGGATTAATGAGGCATTTATTATTGGCAATTTCTTCCATGTTTCTGTACTTGTTAACAGGTCACTTCTTAACTTCCTTTTTGGTAACATGAATCACATTTCTCATGATCAGGTATGTTTTCCAGGCCATCAATTCTATTCTTATAGATATGATTTTCCCCCAGTTTTTCAACAGTTTTAGAGTGATGTTGGAGCTGTGATGGTCCAGGAATTGTATGAGAGGCAAGGCTTTCTTAGGGTGATATCTTTTATTGGACCAACTGCATAGTTGGGATAGAATTAGACAAGCTTTTGAATGCAAGACATTCTTCTCCACAACACACACACCTTTGAAAAAAAAATATGAGTGTTTTAAAAGAAAGTGACTTGAACAAGAATGTTAGTCCAATAAAAAATATCACCCTAAGAAATTCTTGCCTTTCATAGCTTTTCAACATCACTTTTGATGGGAATGTTACCAAATTTGCCCATTACTTTGGGGTGTGCTCATTTATTAGGGATAGTTTCTAGGGTCTTGGTGATTCTGTCAATGTGCTGCTTGTGTTACTATACGGAGCTGTATTTCTCCCTTCTGCAAGCCCTCACCCCCAATGGAGCTATCTTGCAGGACTCAATCTCAGTGGGACTGGGTTCCTCCAGTCACCAAATCAGTCATACACACAAACACACACAAATTAACGTGACATGCCTGACCTGGCTGGGCTGATCAGCATGGACAGGCTGACACCCTCATATGCCAAGAATCAGTTCATAAGAGCAACAATAACATGCAGTCAGACACAAGCACACAGGTGAACAGAATCCCTCTGAATCCGGCTGGGTGTCCAGCTGACACCCTCATGGGCCAGCATTCAGTTCATAAGGGCACGTCTGAGTCAAACTGGGTCAATCAGCCTGTACAAGCTGATCCCCTTATGTGTTTCAAACTCAGCACGTCCCAATCTTTGGCCTCTTGATGAGCAGACCCCACAATAATTTGGGCTTCACAGGGATCTTTAGCATAGGTAAAAGAAGCGTTGCTGCAGAGCACGGGAGGAAAGAGAAGCAGAGAAGGAAAAATATACACAACTACTACCAGTTTGACTATAAAAGTTATTTATTGCTAAGCATATGAAATATATAATAGTACTAGTAGTAATAGACATGCAAAAGAAAAACAAACACCAACAATGACAATACTACCCTGGTTTCACTAAGTATTTGGGGAAACTTAGCTCAAGCTTAACTGATACAGTTCAGGTTCAGAAGTTTATGCCTAGAAAGAAGACAGAGAACGCTGGGATCTCACCTAGTCCACGGTACTCAGGCTGCAAAGCTGACAGGCACAGTCTGTAGCACAGTCCTTGAAGGGAGAGATGATCTGTTCTTCCAGCGTCCCAAGAACGACAGGGGATGGTGTCAGCACAGGGGTTTTCTTCTTCTCCTTCTTTCCTCCTGCTTCTACTTCTTTTCCTTCCTTTTCCTCTTCCTGTTCTTCCTCTTCTTCTAGCAGCACACACACTTACAGATTTTTATACCCTCAGTTTAGCTGCTTCGAAGCACCCTCAGTAGTGTAAATCATTGTCTTTTCTATTGACAAGGGGTTATCTGGTTTGGACCATCTCAGGAAACTGATTGATAATCAGGAAACACTTAAGATTAGGGAGTAACCCAAATACTTGGGAGCCAGCTTGAAATTCCTATGGGTGGCAGATATACTGATGGGATATCTCATGGTTTCTTCAGGAACAATAGATAGCTTGCAGCATCAGGATTTTGGATTTTTACTTGTTGTGCACAAGCCTCAGCTTAGCATGACTTTTCCAGATCTTACTATAGTCTTTTAACAGACTTAAAGCAATTATTGGGGTGCTCATAACCTTTTGTGGAGAGGACTCCCACCAGTCGTCTCGGGAAAGATATGACAACACCTGGGATTAGGGCTCCAGCAGGCTGGATGCTGCGATGAACCGTTAACCATTGTTCAAATGTTGCCCATACCCCCTCTGACTCGGTCTCTTGCCTCAGCATTCCCTAACCCGGCAACCAAGTTTTAGTCAATCAAGTTTAAATAGGCCTCCCATAGTGGGACCGGGGAATGTACTGCCCGAGATGCCTATTAAACTTAGAGCTGTGTGTGTGTGTCTGGGGGGGAAAGTCCTTAGCAAATCCAGATTAGAACTGGTCTGATAAATGCTGAGCTGGGTGTGTGTGAACATGGGTTGATTAACATTGGAAGCACAGATTCCCCATCATGCAGCGCTCTCCTGCTTCTCTGGTCCCAGAATTCACTGCAGTCTCTGCTTCAGGCTTTCTGTTTTCCATCTCTCATGTAAGTGAGACCTAGGGCAGTTGATTCACTCTTGTCACCCTTATCTGGTGAGGGTCTTAGGTGCGTCTCTCACTGCATCTTAACCAGTTTCGTTTAGGTAGAGGAGGGGAGGGGAGGGGAGGGGGGGGTAAGTCCTTTGTGAGTCAGACAGACTGTATTCTGTGCCCCGATTGCCCAAGAATACAGAGCTGAGACGTAACAGAAGACACAAGAATTGGACAGAATTTTATATCAGTCTATCAAATTATTGTTAGGTATATGTGAGATAGAAGATCTGACTTCATTGCTTTTTCCTGTGTCTATGCTTTACCTAATCAAGCTAATAACCTAGGCTGACGCAATAAGACTGTTATTTGATTAACTTAATTATTTTACCAAGTGACCTATTTAAGCTCTGAACAGTTGTATAAATGAAAATATAGGCCAAAAGAAAAAAAAACATATTTTTGCTTTAAAATGAGACATTACCACTGAAAGTGCTTTGCGATGTAGCCTATTAAAAACACGTGGCCTTTTTAACAATTACAGATCCACTACATGCTAGTATCTCACAACAAACATGGCTTTGAAAAAGCCCAGGAATATGAGTGTTTTAGTCTTTTCTACAAGTCAGCAAATCTCAAATGTTTTCGAACAAAGAGGCGAAGTGAGAACCATAGTTGCAGAATTTTCATAATGATCTCTCACTGTTTCCTCCTTTCTAGAAATATTTCTTCTTTGAAACCAACGGACAGTTACTCTAGGACTTACACTAACGTAACAGCCTCAACATCCTGTGAGACAAGACTCATGATCAAAGTAGAGAAGGGAACTAATCAATCTAAAAGGATCACCGGATCTTCCCACGTAGGTAGGAGATAACCAACTAACATAAATCTTGAAATTGCTGCATCACCCTGGAACCTGGGAAAAAGCTGAATAGACTAAATGAACTCTAAGGGCCTTAGTTACTGTCAGACTAGCCCTTTGCATCTGGTCTCCTTCATCTTTTCCTGAAAAGGAAAGATGATAAATGCTGGGCTGGGGTTACTGACGGCATAAAGTAGATTTTGAGATGAGGCCTAACAAGTGCTTCCTCTCAAGAGATTGACAAGTAGCCCTTCTAAAGGGAAGGAAGTACTGACAATCTTCACAAGGCAGGGCCTATGTACTTTCAAGATACATTCACTAGCCAGAAATTACATAGCTATAACGCACCCATGGACAGCAGTGATTTTGATTTTGTGTAAGTAGCTAGATAGGTGTTTGGATGTTGCAATGATAACTCTTATATAGATAGTTAGTCAGGCCATGTACCTGAGTAAAAGCATCTGTGCTGTCCATATTTGTAGATATTTTTTTCATGGTTAAAAGAGAAGCCATTATTTACTTAATATTATAAGATATGATAAGATATCTAGATGCAGTATTCCATTGCTGGTGTATGTCTCAACACTTCATTTTCACTCAAACACGTACTCACTGTGACTGGGAACAAAACAACCATATTGAATTGTGTCTAATAATGCCAGTATTCTATTATGTACATGATTCTATTCACCCAGTGCCAAAAACCTGTTTTTTGGCAACCAACACAGCCCAGTAAATCTATGTCTTCCTACTTCTCATTGTTACGGCTTTTAAAAAGTGGGTGGTAAAAGGAAGTCTGAATATGGAGCAGGTGTGTGTGTGTTACCTATTATAAATTCCCTGGTCAGCAACGATGATATGTATTTGTGTAAATTTGGCATACCTTACGTAAGTCAAGCCAGAGAGTGGGGGAACCAGTTTTGACTCTTGACAGAGGCGTACACCTGGTCTTGCACAATACATTAGTTGCATTTTCTGTGTCTGTCTTATTTCCACACACTGACGTCCTCTTCCTTATGGCTCTCCACATCAGAGAAGTGGTAAGTAGCAAAGACCCATGAGATCATACAGTTTATCATGCTGTCAGTGTAGGATGATTCCCTACAGGATATTTTTCCTTATTTTGCCTGCCTTGTTTAAAAAAACAGAGTCAATTTTAACTTGTAATTATTATGAGTTAGCAGAAAACAACTATCCCCCCACTTATACGTATATGTGAAAATTCATTTGCCCTCAACCTTTATCTCTTTCAGTTTGATACTTGAAGATGCTCACGTATATTAAAAAAAATCCAAGAAGACAAAGTCAAAGCAGTACTCATAGAGTTAATTAAGAAAATTTATGCCTGACAGAAGTTCACAAGAACATCTGTTATTTGATTTTGAGAAATGTCAAGTTTGCAAAATGAATAGTATCCTGGCAAGATTCCAGCCTGGATAATTACATTTTTCCTACCTGAAATTTTTCCTGGAGTTTCAACTTGGATGCAACATTTTTTCCCCACTTCCTTTGCCATTTTTTTTACATTTTTTCTCAGTTCTCTGAAGCAGTTGCTATGTTTCACTCCAGCTGAATGAAGAGGTGGATGACTTTCAGTTATGACTGATACAAGGGCTTTGGTATCACCAGAGATAAATGAGCATATGCCTGGATTCAAGGTATACTTTTATACACAGAAGTATAGGAGTGGAAGGGATGCCTGGGCCACTGCATGCAGTTCTCTGTGTTTGCCGGTTAATTGTTTATACAATGGATCACCCAATCATCACTTCCAACCCTCAAGGCACAATACCTGAAACACCAGCACCACTCTGTAATCTCCCATAGATAACAGCAGGGGAGATGAGGACATAGCCAATGCCCTGTCATTACAACAAGAGGGTTAATGTATGCTCAGAAGGTCCTAGGAAAAGGACTGTAGGAGGCAAAAACCTCTACAGCCCATGCCAATCTGACTGCAGGGTAAAATTCCTCCCTGACCCCAAATTTGACATTTTATTTCCTCTTATGCTTTTAAGACTGTGACAACAAAACATTCCCAGATTTGTTTTCCTTAGTTTGCCCATTGAAGGAGTGTGAAGAAATTTGAATCATTATCAGAACTAGTGAAAATATTCTTGTTGGTATTTTAAAGAGAAAACTTGACTTTTATGCTTAAACTTTCTATAATGTTGATAAGGCTTATCTTAATAAAATTTTAAAAATTCAGAACAAAACAAATGACTTGATAAAGTTGGAGAAAAACATGATGGAAAGATCATCTGGTTTAACTTCCTACATCCCCATCTGAACCATCCCAAACAAATGTTTGTTTACAGTGATCTCAAATATTTCTAATTATGGATATCTCACAACTTTCTGAGGTAATCTGTTCCACCACTTAACCACCCTCATAGTTAGAAAAGTTCTAACTATCCAACCTAAAGCTTTCCTTATTGCAATTTAATTCCATTACTTTTTGTCCTGCCCTCTTTGGACACAAAAATAGTTGATCACCTTCCTCTTTATAAAAATCGTTTCTATATTGTTGAAAACTGTTGTCGAATCTCCTTTAATCTTCTCTTTTCCAGACTAAACAGTACCAGTTCTTCCAACATTTATTCATAGGTCTTTTCTAAATCTCTAATAAATTCTGCGGCTCTTCTCTGGATCCTTCCTGTTTGTCCACGTCTTCTTGAAGTGCGCCAAATGAGACACACTACTCCAGGTAAGGCCTCACCAGTGCTAAATATATTGGAAAAAAACAGTTGTTAATACTTCCATGCAATGCTTCTGTTAATACATCCCAGTATGCTCTAGCTTTCTTTTTCAACAATATTTACTATTAACTCATATTCAAGCTGCTGTCCATTATAAACCTGGGTCCTTTTCAGCAGTACTGCAACCTAACCAGCTGCTTTCCATTTTATATTGGTTCAGTCAGTTGTTCCACTCTAAGGGCACATCTATACATTGCCCTATGGAAATGTAGCGATGTGCTACATCACCGTACGGCATGCCATGGTGACATAGCAATCGTGTGTCTACATGTGATCACCAGCCACGTTGCTGTAGCAGCACACTCCCTGGGTATAGTGCGCCGCTAAGGTGACATAGCAGCAAAATTTCGCTATGTGCATGGTGCAGTAACCACCCATATTTGAATAGACTCCCAGCGGGGGTGGTGCAGGCACCTACCCTAGAGATCTTCAAAAGGAGACTGCATGCACACCTTGCTGGGGTTATTTGACCCCAGCAGTCTTTCCTGCCTAGAGCAGGGCGGCTGGACCTGATGAACTCACCAGGTCCCTTCCAGCCCTAAACTTCTGTGAATCTGTGCTTTAGTACTTTCAAAAGGAAGTATTAAAGCACAGTGCCATAGCAACATCACTGTACAGCGACGTGTAGACACATCCTAAATGCACTACTTTGTACTTGCCCTTACTGGATTTCATCTAATTCATTTCAAACCATGTTTCTAATGTGTCAGTCATTTTGAATCATAATCTTATCCTCCAATGTATCCACTACTCAACCTATCTTGGTATCATCTTCAGATTTGCTAACTGTGAACTTATTCCATCCTTCAAACCATTAATGAAAATACTGAACAGTACTAGACCCAAAGACAGGCCTCTGAGGGATTTCAAAATGTTCTGATTTTCTTCTACTTGTTCAGCCTTCAAAATGAGGACATTCTGGATGCATTTACACATGCAATTAGCACAGCTCAATAAACTCTGGCACAGTTCACACCAGAGTCAGCACTCCCAGGCAGCACATATACACATGCTGGCAGGGAGCTTCACAGTGTTGGGTGGTGGAGTGATTAGCTGGGGCACATTGGTGCTACAGTGTGGGGCTAGCCAGGAGGCAGCCCCCTGCACTGTAGTACCCTCTTGGCCCAGCCAGCCTTGGTCACCATCTGCAGGTGCATTTCAGTGCAATTAGGGCACTTTTATATGTGCTCTGGGAGCTGGAGGGTGCAGCACTTTAACTAGAACAGCTCCAAGAATTGCTGTAATTAAAGCACCGCTGTGTCTCATGTATCAGCATTCGTGCGCTTAAAAGTGGCAGGAGGGGTGCTTGAACTAAAGCTCATTTGATGAGCTTTAGTTCAAGTGCCCCCACTGCCAATTTTAAGCATGGGGACACTGATACATGAGATGCAGGAGGCTGCTGGAGTGCGGTAATTGCCATGCTTCAGCAGACTCAATTAATTGAGTGTGCCTGACACACTGGAATTCCAGCATGTTGGAGCAGCTCCACACTCGCATACAGATGCCCTTAATGACTCCACCATAGGACAGTACTTGTCCCAGACATTACTATCCTACAGTGGAGTTAATTAATTTACTGTGCTCTAATAAAGATGCATGTGTAGATGGTGCTTTACTGTGGAGCAAATTATCAGTAAAGTGTGTATGTAGATGTATTCTGTGAGCTAATTTTATTGCATCCTCACAGTTAACAATGTGGGTAGGGAAGATATAAAGTGGTAAAAACTAAAAAAAATCCTTGCAAACAGAACACCTGTCTTCTTTGCTTTGTACCTTTACAGTCATCTTAATATGTTCAAATGGATTGTGCCACCTTCTGATTTGATGTCATTTTACAATACAGTAAAAATAGTAAAAAAATTAAAATAAGCATTTCTGAAATTCTAAAAAAAAGCTTTTTTTTCTCCTAAAAAGGTCCTCCATTTAAGCTTCTTCTTTTTTTTTCGTTTTCCAAGTGAAATGTAGACATTTCAAAATTTCCCCCTAAAGGAAATATCCTTTTTTTTAAAACTTGGAAGTAAAACAGATATCTTATTTTAAATATTTCAAAACAAATTGAGCCTGGGAGCCGAAGTTCCAAGGCTCCTTGCTCAGCCATGGCTCCCAAGACTTCTGTAGTTTACCAGTGCCTTATTAACCCTAATAGACTGACTTTTCTGTTGAAGGAAGCCTGGAATCTTAGGAGTTTCGGTGTCCCTGATCGTGGGGTAGTTTACAGAACGTGGAAACCTTGGAGCTATGCAATCCTGGTCTTCAGCTCCAAGGCAGCCTCTGCAGCTTTGTTCTACCAAAGCTATGCTGCTTTCAGTGCCTGAATTTGCCTGGTGTCTCTACAGTACACGCCACTGTATACTTGGGATTGTGGATTCTGGACCCCTGGGCTCCCCAAAGACTGTCGGCTAAGCATGCAGGAAATCAGAAACCTTGCTTTGCTCCTCTGGAAATTCATTGAAGCTATGTTTTTGATTTTCAACAGTTTGGCATATTATGATGAAAACCTATTTTGTCAGCTTTCACTTCTCCTTTGCATAGATATAAAAGATTGCAAAAAATCTAAGAGAGTAGAGAATTGGGCTTTTGACACTAGTGTTACTTGCTAGCAGGTGCACATTTGTATACTTTGGTTAAATTAGAGCAGGAGTAAAACCAGGCTGTACAAGCAGAACCCTCATTGTAAAAGTTCTCTCCTATAATATTTTTAAGCATTCTAATATAATGCCTATGACTAATTGGTACCTCCATTTGCAAGGTTACATGGAAAATTCTAGAGTCCAAAGCATTCAGCATTTGAACATTCAATTTTTTTCAATGAAATATTGAGATGTTTCCTGGAAAGCAGAAACATTTTGTAAAAATTTAGATTCCATGTTCCTTTAAAAAGAAAAAACCAGATGTGATAGAGAAACACTCATTCTTCTCATTACTATTTCATTACCTTTTTCTCTGTGATGTGCAAAATAAAAAAAAAAGAGCTTGTTTCCTCCTTGTTTGGTTATTAGGGCAGAATATAATGATTATGAGGAAAATCTGTATAGATCCCCTTCAGATTCCCATCCTCAAATTCAGAAACATCTAAATAAGGCAGAGTTGTTCCTAATCAGTCATTAAACTAGGTTTATTTATAGAGATCTAGATAAACCATGGGGAAATCAGGTCAGGTTTTGCTAGAGAAAATATGAGAAGAGTATATTGGGAATCCTCAAAGAACTCAGAAATGAAGGGTTAAAACTCTAAAATAAGATGTCTTTTCTTCCAGGCATTCAGGAGTAGCAAATCTACACACAGACACAAAGAAGGCTAGGTTTTTCAAAAGCATCCAAGACAGGATTTAAGCCAAAATTATTTGGGGATTTTGGATTTGTGAAACTTTTGGACATTTGGATTTTCTGTCCTAAGCTGGGATGGCAAACCTGTGCAAGATGGGAAACTATTTTCCACCCAGCTCTTGAACTTGGCCAATTAAAGATGCTTCTGATGCATTGTGAGATTTTCAAAAGCACTTAAGGTGGTTAGGTCCCTAACTCTTCTTAAAATCAATTAGTAGATACTTTTGAAAATCTAGTAGGTATCAATCAGCTTCTTTAAATACCTTTAACAATCTGACACTGTGCACCTAATGCTATGTCTATCCTGCAAATTTAGGGTGTTGTTACAGATTACCTTTAAACTATACAAACTATACAAACTCTGTGGAATTAATTTAAAGATTACCTTTAAACTATACTATTTAAAGATTAATTTAAAGATTACCTCTAAACTATACAGATACCTTTAAACTATACAAACTATACAAACTTTGTGCAATTAATTTAAAGATTACCTTTAAACTATACACAATCTGTGGAATGTTAGGCGGTGTTGAAATTAGAAGAGTTTCAGAGCAGTCACAGGTTAAGGCTTAATGCTGTCCCCGAACTGCATGGCTATGACATTCCTGTAGAGGCTGTGGTCAGGATCCAGGAGGCTACCCCTCCTCTGGGAGAGGAGACCTGAGGGTTAAGCAAAGTGAGAGAATGGACCGTGGGGTAACATCCTTCCCCAGGTTCCATGATCTCACTCCCTGGTGGCTCTGCTCCCAGCAGAGACCTGCTGCAGGCTAACCATACTGACAGAATGGGCCCCAGCGAAGCATGCCTCTTCAAGCTCCGTGTTTGGATTAGGTCTAATATGAGGTACTAAATAAATGCACATTAGGCTGCCCCAATGCACAGTACCAAAAGTACATGCTTTTTAGGTGATGCTTAAAGTGCAGTAGCCTATTTTACTGCACATTAGCATAATAGCATGGTTTTTTACATAATGCTTTAATTTGCAGTATAATTGGCTACTGCACATTAAAGCACAACTGTAGATGTGTCCTTTATATTTGTGGAGCAGACTAATGATACCCTCGCTCAAACAGGTAGAACAGCTCAAAGTTAAGCCTCACCCAAAGTTACCTAACTTTAAGATGCTTAGAGTGTACTTATCACAGTTTAACACCCTTTGATGTGTGGATGCTCCCATTTACATGTCTTTAGAGTGGTTTAAAGATAACCTGTAACACCATCCTTACCATGCTAAAGAATGGTGCTGTAACACCATCCTTACCATGCTAAATATCCTTCCCTGCTCCGAACACATTACCTCCACAATTGGGAGCTGTGTAACCATTAGACATGGCACAGTATGCAGATTAATTAGCACTGCTAAGATTTAGGATTAATGAACGTGGACTCCTGCTAATTAGCTCTTCTGTACCACTGCACAAATGTGGACACTGTTTCTGGTTTAGGAGGTAGCATGTGGCAAGTTTTTGTAACACTCATTGGCATAATAAATTTGTCACATAGATATGCAAAAATCTAGAACTCTTGGTTCAGAGATGATAGCTTTTATTAGACCGACTGAAAAATAGCAAAAAAAAAAATGTTTTTTGTGCAAGTTTTTGAGCTCACATGCCCTTCATCAGGCTCAGGGAAAGGTCAAGATGGTAAAAAGTCTCCATGTGTAGAAAATAAGCTTCATTTTTGCACAGAGAACGCTGAAGATCTGTGCCTCTGGGTCCATGTGAGTATCTTTGTTATATGGCATCAAGGGATCTGAGGAAGGGTACTGGAAACCTGAAAACTTGTCCAACAGCTCTCCAAACTATACATTTGGTCCAATAAAAGATATCACTAAAAATTCTCAGCTCATCTGGTTTTAATCATTGTTCAAAATGGGATTTAGGCACCTAAATGACTTACATTCTTGGAAAAGTTGCCCTTATGCTCTCTTTCCTTCTCCGCTGCTCACCCTCCAATCTCATTTTGTAGTGTTTCATCTTCCAGTCTCAATTTCACCAGCCACCATGAAGCCTGCTGAGGTAGAGAAGATATGTTTCTAATGGTGAGGAGAGACAACAAACTAATCTGTTTTGCAGATGCAATCTTCTTAGGCCATCTTTATACATCAGAAAGCATCGAAGAAGAGGACTAGTGCATTTTTTTCCCTTTGGAGGTCACCTCTAATGCAGCGCAGGTGTTCTAGATACAGAACAATGATGGAAGGAATAATAGAAGTATAGCATCACAAAAAATACTGTTTACCAACACACACTTCCTTCTTAAAATCTTTGTAATTTGAACAAGGAAGCATGAAAGTCAAGATGGTTGCTCTTCAAATAAAGCTTTTAATCCAGCAGCTGAAAAAAAGTGCAAATATACACATTTTTTAGTTTCTAATGGAGAAGGAACCTTTGGGCATGCCTCTTTCAAAGAATGTGCTTTTTGTTTGCATTTTTCTCCCTCCCTATGTGAAAATGTGGATGTTACAACAGGTGCTTTCCTTTACAGAATCAATCCAATTTGGCCAAGAGGGCAATGCCCTTTCAGGGCGCATCCACGCATGCAAGCACGTGCTCTTGCAGTAGCTCAAATAGAAGCGGTACAAATTTGAGCTGGGGCTTTTTGCCTCAGCGCGTGTGCTCGGACATGCACTTTGTTGTGGGGCAAATTGTGCCACCTGGGGCAAAATAACCCTGCCTGGCTCCTCCCGGATCTGCAGCCAGGGGGAGCTAAAGCCCAGGGCCAGCACCTGTGCTGTCCCCAGCAGTATAAAAAGCTGCCCTGTCCTGGCCCCAGCAGTAAAAAAAGCTGCCCTGGCAAGTAGCTCAGGGCTGCTCACTCTCAGGAGCTTGTGGAGCCCAGCCAATTGGTACTGGTGGACTCTACCCCTTGTGCCAGCTGGACTGCTGAAGCAGCCCTGAGAGTTCCCTGCACCCTCTACCCACTGCAGTAGTCTGGCAGTGGGGGCTGCTGCCTGGCTGTGACCTGCTGCGCACCTGCCAGACTCGGATAGGGACTGCACAGCCGGTAGAGGTATCTGCCCCTCTGGGCCAGCTGCCCGGGGGCTGTGGGTGCAGGGG